ATTTGCCAGGGCACATTTTTTCTCCCACATCGTGGGATACGCATGGAACAAACTTCCACCTACAGTAGTAGCAGGATCTATTGTTCTGCAATTCAAGCGGAGACAACTGCTAGGACGAGGTGTTGAGAGCCAAGAACACCAACCGACAACACCATAATTTGGACGCTCGATTGGCAAGGGCCATTGTTCGTTCTCTGAAGACTGGAATGGTCGAAGCTTTGTTTGTCTGTGTCAGTTATGTGGTTTTCTGCACGTGACCTTCGGAGTCTCTCAGCGGTTTTCGCTCCCTCTGGACATAACGCACCTGTTGTGTTGAAATTTTAACACATGTATTTGTTCACTTTAAAAGTATAAACAAATCATAAATTATGAACACTGACCACGTGGACTGAATTGTTTGGTCTATCGCATATTTTCAAAAAAGCGAGATGCTTGGCTCCACAACCGCTGAAAATCTTGCTTGCACGGATGAAGTCAAAGTTTACGAAGACGAAGGCGAGGAAGAGGAGCAGCAGAAGTCATCAGAAAATTTGACCGAGGACAAAGTGCGTTTGGTTATCGAGAGTGAAACGCAGGTGAGTAGGGGATGTGTCCCGGCAGTTTTAGAATTCTGGCACCTATATTCTGCGATTTATTTTTTATTGTTAAATAGTTATTCAACAACGATTGTATAATTTTCCCACCTTTTTTATTTTCATCTGTTTTTGCATCTCGACCTGATGTTACGTTCTATCCAAAACCACCATATACATAGTTATCGCTCCCTCGGCGTCTTTTAGTTTTTTTATGGAGTTTCTTCCGCTCAGCTAGTAAAGATTGATAACCCTGCTGTTTGCATATATGTTCATATATATATATATTCATATTCATTTTGATTTGGAAGTTCTAAGGAATGAATAATGGTTAAATTTAAAGCCACCGGTTATTTATTAGTAAATGAATTCCCTTGCTTTTCATAAGCACGTTTAATACCAAGATCAACCTTTCGGGGGTAGATGCCCCATGCTTTCGTAGAAGTTCGTTTTAATCATTTCCAAATTATCCATTTAGTTTTGTTCGTAACTACACTCTGGCGTGAATGCTATGCGGTCTGTCCACGGTAATTCTATGTCCCACCAAAAATAAGCGAACAAGAAACATCAGTGTACAGTGAAACAAACAAACAAACACTTCTCTGCTTGTTTTTCCCACGTTATCATTTGTGCTCGAATTCCCTTTTTTTGGTTGATGCTGTTGTCACGTTGGTATATGTAGTGACGTTAACACGGTGAAAGGTGGTGTTGGTCGCTGTCAACGGAGTGCTTTGGATCCTACCGCGGTTCTAACCCTGCTACTGCCTTCTAGCTTTTGTGGTATTCAGAATTTCTGTCATTCGGCTCAATACCTTACTTCAACTAGTGGTCTTTCACATTTGTATTTCGTACCTCTGATTCTAGACTATACTAAATCAATTTTAGCATAACAATCGTTGTAAAAAAGAGAAAGCTCCACAATTTGTTTGTGGGCGGGATACTGCCAGGTCACCCAGGCCAAGGCAGATGAATTTTCATGAATCCACAACCTAGCCTTCGGTTATCGAAGGGCTAACCTGCAAGGTGTGTTGGAACCGCCACCAATTGAGGGCCGGTGTCCAGTACACCGGATCATACGCCCTTTGGACGGGACCAAACATCCAACGTGTCCGGTACACCCCGATGCCCAATCGAACTGGATACCCGTTTCATTTAGTCTTCATGACCATTAATCATAGATCGGTGACCACTGTCCCAGCCAGTGTGGTTGAGTGTGGTTTGTACGCCTCTTTTTGGTTGCTTTGGAATCAGGGTTTTAGCCAACTCGCCGTGGTGATTCACCGACTCGCATATAACCCCAGATTTCGCCTTTTTGCCCCTTCTTTTTGGTGAAAGCCCCCCATGAGGTGACAATGAGTGGAGCTTCCTCAGCAGAGACTGGTTGACATGCTGCGTCCTATAGGAGCAGTTCGTGAGCTGCAAGGGTAGGGTAGCCAGCCACAATCCAAGACAATCACCCCGATCATACCGAAGCCTTCTTGGGTTCATCACTCCAGGTTTCGGTCGTTGGGTTATGGTTTCTTTTTATTAAACAGCGGGTGTTTGTTACTATGGGGTTTACTCCGTCTCATCACACTCATCACACAACAGTATCAAAATAACCACGCATTTTCAAGGCTCCAGCAGCTTACGCAGAACAGACACTTTATCGACGTGACGTTTCATTGAAGTTAAAAGGCCGCGTATCTTGTGCTACCATTTGAGTTTTTTTACGGATTTTGTGATCTTGAATTTACGAGCGAAAGAGATTCATCGGTTGGAGCTTTTTGACATACGACGTTTGCGTAATTTGGTGCGGGTTGGTTGGAGTGAGTGGTCAGATAACCTCGATGTGAGCCGTTGTGCGGTCAGAGATATCTTCGTGAAAAATTTGCCATCACATCGAATTTGAATGAGTAGGTTTTGTTGGTTATAATATATTACGCATGCCTCTCAGTCGCTTGTCGCACTGTGCAGGAGAAAAGTATATGGGAACCAGTAGATGTTGCGATAAGAGACATGAATTATACTCAGTTTACGATTACAAACAAGAAATCTCAATGAACGGTTTTCACTTTCATTATCACAGGAATATTTTCAATAATAAAGTAGTATATTTTTCTGAAACTTACGGTATTTTTTACCCATACCAGTGTTTTTCTTAGAAGTCAAGAGTACAGTCATCCTTTTGTGCGAGTCGATTGAAAAACCGTTGAATTAAGGAAAGTCACAAAATTACTATTTGAAACAAAGCGAAAAGTCAAAAAGCCAGTGTCTTTATTAAACATACAACTAGATGACGGGAGCCGAAAATCATAAATGAATAATTTAGAGGGACCATTACAAATTATAATAACCACAAACGGGGGTTCGATTTATCAACCGCTCCTGCAAATTATTTTGATCAATATTATTTGTGTCAAGCTTCCTGATTTATCTAATTATAGTTCAGTTCAGTTCAGTTCGTACAACCGTTAACCATGCATTTTCGTGCGCCGGTTTTGTTTGCTGTCTTTAGGTTGTACATTTGGATAAAACAGTAGAATGAAGGTTGGAATGTTCAGAGCAAATTCAAGCGAAAGATAGCGAATTTATATAGACTGAAGTTACAAGAATAATGAGTAGATGCATAAACGCCACTGCGACATACAGCCATATCGCTCAGTGTCTCTAACCATCGCTGACCATGATCTCGGGGTCCCCAGCCTAACGGGACCTATGTGACCAAGTCTCCTGGTTAGGGTTTTCATACCCTCATGCCAGGATTTACTTTGATCTTTTTCCAACCTCTACCCGCCTCGGCGAACATCGCGTGCCGTGGCAACCTATCTGGCGACATAAGTAGCACATGTCCCAACCAGCGTAAACTATGAAGGTCGACTATTTACTCTAATGGATGACCGCGATCACATGCAATTCTACACCTAACCTCAGCATTGCTCGTCCGGTTACTCCACCGGACTCCTGCATTGTGACGTAGACAGTGGTGTTCGAACATCGACAATCTATTTTTATCCTGTTCCCGCAATGGCCAAGTCTCTGCACCGTATAGCAGAGCTGGCCGAACTGCTGCAGCGTATACTCGACCCTTCGCAGACAGCCGGATGTCACGACGGTGCCACAAACGCCAACCGAGCCTTTTGTATGTGCGCCGACACTTCATCTGTGATGCGTTCGCCGGGTGAGATATAGCTGCCCAGATAGCAAAACTTGTCTACTTTTCTGTGCACCTACTAACGGACATACATTGGGTTCAGTATTGTGTGAATCTGAACTTTCTGTGGCGAAGAATATATATTTATGGAGTTTGTTTCGTTGGAGTTGTTACCATCTGTACACCATAGGTACTGATAATCATTCGGAAATTGAAGATTTGTTTTCCTTTAAGCCTATAAACTCAGAGGTTTGACTTTTGGACGCTAAATTGTGCATAGACACTATCTTCCCACTCTTTTGGGAAACGGATATGCGCGTACTTGGAATTAAATTCGATCGATTCAACTTCGTCACCCAGGGGGTCCTATTTTGCTGATTTTATCGCGTCTCATCAAGGCCGACCACGGAATACTCAACCAGGTTAGTATGAAGATCCCTGATGCAGTTTTGTAGTGATGAGCAAACAACCACTCATGAAGTATCGCATTTGTAGTGATTGAATGGAGTGGAGGGCATATTGAAATGCAGTCTCTCCCTGAGTAAAAGACAGGCCTGTTCTGTGAGAACAGTGGTCTAATCTCTCTCTCTCTCTCTCTCTCTCTCTCTCTCTCTATAT